GGCAAGGCACGGCCGTGTGAAAATAAATACATAATAAAGAAACTATATATACGGCACATATAAAGTGTGGCTGGCAAACTTTTCCAACCAAGCCATCCCACAAAGTCTTATGGGCCAGATATAAATGGCCAAATGGGCCATGTGCTTGCACGGTCCGGTAAAGCATGTCCTAATTTAGCTGGGCCAGGCTGGCGCGGTCGTGATGGCCATGCTATGCTTCACCACATGTTCATTGTTCATCCTAGGTGCAGCACAATTGCAAAACGAGCCAGAAGATAGAGGTCGATAGGGAGGAAGGAGACAAGGTGAATAACAGGGCAAGAGAGGAGGAAGAACTTGGAGCTTGTGGAGGTGGCTAGTGCCTAGAGGAAAAGGAGGAAGGGCACAGTGGTCGCCGCGTAGCGACACGGAGCGTCCACATACGGTAGGGGCTCATGCACTCATGGCTACTATGGGGAGCATGGGTAGGGGGATGTGATTGTAGAGGCGGCAAATATGTGGTGCTATCAGGTCGGGCAGCTAGGGATGGAGCCATAGTTGGCTTTTGTCGTGTTGGCAACATTAAAACAGTTTGTGTCTTGTGGTGCTCGGCTGGACTACAAGAGTTGGAAGAAAACAAGAAACAAAATGTGAACAAATAGGGGCAGTGGAAATGTCAAGCGTTATCTAGAAGGAAAGCACGCGAACACATTTTATGTGCGAAGTCTGGAACTTTAAGATATTTCTTTAGAAGTCCCGAAAGTTTAGAAGTTTGGTTTGGAAGTTTGAATCAACACAAGCCACGAACACGAAAAACAAAGATCCGGGGATGTTTCTCAACCTTTTGAGCACAACTTCTCGTGTGGTCTCAACACAAGTTACTTCTAATACAATGACTATCTAGCCAATCATTCAATCCCCATCACTAAATACTCAACATATCAAAGAACACATATACCTCATATGTCAACACAACAATATGCCATCTAAAATGAGCATACTCATTCAATCTTCAATAGATGACACCAATATAGAAAGCAAGATGACAACCAATCAACTCATATATCAAGAGGAATACCAAATCACAAGTAGACACAATAATTTATGTGAAACCTCTTGCGGAGAAAAATAATGGATGACATGGTCAATCAATCCACTATGACTATGCCAAAACTGATAATCACTGTCGGGTCAGAACCCCCTTCACTGCGGGAATTCATGACGACAGAGGATACTCGGTAGTGATGGGGTGGCCTATCACTGCCGATTTGGTGACCCGATAATGATAGTTCAAAGCACAACCCTGCAATGTTATTCTCGGCTATCACTGTCGGGTTGGTTCATCAACCGGCAAAGTTAAGTCCCCAGAGATCTAGAAAGCCCCTAGTTTATTGAATGGAGCCCTAAGCTCCATTGCTCCCCCACAAAGGGCTAGTGTAGAAACCCTACACTAAGCACCTTTTTCAAATCGTTTTTCAAATGTGATAACTCCCAAAGTGTCCCACGGGACAACAAATTTAAGCATAGAGTTAGCATTTTAAAAATATTTTCAAAGTATTTTACCTTTATTTCACTATAGCACTAGGTCTAATGCATTTGCAATGCTAATCCTTACTAGTGGTACTAGATAACCGCATTTGCTTTAGATTATGGCTATCTACCTTAAACCCAACCGTGCACACAGCACACTATTGCACCTTGGTCAGTAAAAGCAAAGACACCTATGCATACCTTTGCCTTCAAACTTTTGCTTCATTCTCCATCATCTCCTTCATCCATGTTGAGCACTTGCTTCATGTTTAGCATAATCTCCACCATGTTTCTAGCCTTGCTCAACTCCGTATCCTTGTGGGCCCTAGCCTAATCATCGGTCAAGAAAGCATTAGTTCACTAGTTGTCACTCAATTGCTGAAACAAAACTAGGGCTTTCAGATGCTTGGCACCTCATCCAACGAAACCAATATGAAACTGCTTCGGGGAAAACAGTGGTTTTGAGAGTTAAAGTGGTGTAAACATCCAAATTTTTAGACGGAGGAGATAAATCAAAATTCGACGATATATAGTTAAGGAGGGTTGGAAGGACTTGTTTCTTTTTTACTTCTTTTCCCTACCCTTCTCCATTTTGCTTCCCAATAATCCTCGACAAGACAAAACCGAGCACAAGCCTGCATGCTTTGTTGATCTACAGCTCACTAGCAAGCCTCTTTCCTTCTTCTAGTTGGGCCAAGGTCAGGCTAACCGCACCTCCCATCTTCATTGACCATGGGCCCATCCTGGCACAAGCCACACGTCTGTCCTTGTCCCGTAAGCAGCAGCCGCTATGCTTCCTCAACTTCACTAATTCGCGGACATTTGCTTGGTTCAAAATCACCAACAATCATATAAATCTCCATGACTTTTCTTTTCTTAGAAAAAAGTATCTTTGTAGCTTTCTATTTCTAAAAAGTTATAAAGTTATATTTATAACTTTTGTGGATAACATTTTGGGCCACAAAACTTATCGCCACAACTTTTTCACATAACTTTTTCAATATAGTTTCTACATGATCTTTGTGGCCTATTTATAACTATCAGGGGACAAACATATCATGACAATTTTTTAACATAAATTTTCTAGCTATACTTTTATATAATAGATTTTACAAATAACGCAACTTATCCATATAACTTTTTTTGTTGTTCAACATCTTTCAAAATTATACACAACTTATCAAGCACATTTTTTACATAATTTGTTCGAATAAATAACTTCCAAACCTAAAAAATATGTTCATATTATATAGTAGAAAATGGCTAATATAAAATCTAAAAAAAGGAAAAAAAGAAGGAAAGAAAAAATGAAAGGGCAGAAAGAGTGAGAAACAAAATAGACTTGTCGAATCAGATACAAGGTCATGCTAAAAGTTGTTAAGATAAGTTGTGTATACAATTTGGTCAAAACTGTAAAAAAATTATGATTAGAGGCTATTGTCATAAATTATGTCCCGCAAAATATTATGCATAAATGTTGTGAAAACTCTATAGCTTTCCAAAACTAGAAAATTATGTAAATAATTTTTTTCACAAAAGGAAAGTTGTCGCTAGTTTCAAGTTTGGCAAACCGTTTGCTACTTTTTGGATTCTGGGGTGATAGAACATACCTGTTCCATAAAAAACAGCCATTTTGTATGGATTTTGCTGCTTCAATTGTACGGATGATCTTTCAAGTGAACTGGGCTAGTATAGTCTTTGGTTTGGACTTCTACTGGTTCGACCGCTGGTTTGGTTAAGTCCTATTAACTATAGTTGAGTGTGGTGGTGTATGAACTTCCCAATTTGTTATTCTTCGGTTTTCTTGTGTGCCCCTACGATGAAAATGATCAGAAACGAGCAAACTAGGCCTACATAATTTGCATTTTCATATCTTTCTCACATAAACGAAATCGATAACGATATTGCCCAAAATGAATATGACACCCGTATTGCGACATGTCGATATAGGTCAATAATCGAATAATGTAAACTAAAAATAATGTTATATAAGCCAGGTCTTCAAACATGCTTTACTTATTTTTAACTAACAAACATGTTTTACTACCCATACAAGTCCACACACAAGACTATTGAAGTGTGGGATATATATAGGTAAAAACTGTATAATATCGTCAGGATTTCCTGGCTCGGAAATGACGAATCACTAAAACAGTCCGGTAGAAACAGATATCATTTCCAAATTTACAGTTTCTATTTCCATTTGCTCCCAAAACACGATAAAATCTCATAAACAAGTGACAACAACCGATTTATTCCATTTGGGCTTTCATCCCTACGAGAGAGGGTTTGTGGCATTCAGCTGAGAGCTAGCGGAGTTTAGGCCTTGTTTGGATACATCAAGATTGTGGAAGCTTGATTTTGAAAGCTAGATTATAGAATCCGAGTTGTGAGGTTGATTGGACCCATAGATTATAAAAGCTGTGGTGGACCACTTTTTAGAGTAAAATTATCTTAATACCCTTAGTATTTTATTTTATGTTGTAGCTATGGAAGAAAGAGAGAGGGGCAGAATATTCTTTTGATGACTAGAAGCTGGAAAAAGCTGGGTTCCCTCAGCTTACCAGATTATGGAATCTGGGATCACTGAATTCTAAAAGCAAGCTATAAGTTATGGCTGTTTGGATCCCTCCCTATATTTTAGAAGCCAGCTTCTACAATCTCTGTGAATCCAAACATGCCCTTAATATCCTGGCATTTGTGCAACAGTGATTCAGACAAGATTTTCAATTTCAGTAGTAAAAAAATTCGGCCACCCTCGAAATTACTGAAATTCGCGAGATTTGGCAGAAATTTCCCTGGAATTTTTTTAGAGACTTGCACACGAAGTACGTTTTTTTTCTAAAAAAATTAGATCTAAACAAATATTGCATGATTTATGACTACACATCTATTGAGTAGAAGAATATGCAACATAAACAAAATAAAATATGAGTCCAAAATTATATAGCACATATATTAGTGTATTACAAAATTTCGGATTTTTCTTTCGGCAACCTCTGAAATTACCGAAATTCGTGAAATTTTGGTGAAACTTCGCTGACATTTTGAACTCTTCCTGAGCTATGGTTCATCTGTCTGCTTTTGTTTGCACATGCCCAGCAGAAGATAAGTACATCGACAATGGTATAGTAGACACGGCACCTGCTGCCGAGACCAAATCAGCACACGTCTTAACGACATGTTGACATTATTGTTCGCTTGAATCGTATCAGCCATGCTTATCGGTCATGATACAGTATTTTTTTCTCACAATAAAACAACATTAATCGGCTTATAAACCATAGAAACGATCAATATTAGCGAGCTTGTAGACTGGGCAGAGATGAATCATACAATAATAGTAGGAGCAGTTGAAGTGAGTAGGAAAATGAAAACAGTGATGACCATCCGTGACTAGGACTTGCAACCAGCCAATATATATATATATATATATATATATATATCAAACGAGCAAGCGTGTCTGCACGTCCACCGGCGGCGAGGCGAGGATGGCGTCGTCGTCCAAGAAGGTGTGCGTGGTCGGCGCCGGCGTCGCGGGACTAGTGTCCGCCCGCGAGCTGCGCCGGGAGGACCACGACGTGGCGGTCATGGAGCAGAGCGGCGGCGTCGGCGGGCAGTGGCTGTACGACCCGAGGACCGACGCCACCGACCCTCTCGGCGTGGCCGGCGCGCAGAGCAGCATCTACGCCTCTCTCCGGCTCAACACGCCCAGGGAGACTACGGCCTTCTCCGACTTCCCTTTCTTCCCCAGCAACGACGGCACCGGCGACGCCCGGCGGTACCCGGTGCACGCCGAGTTCCTGAGGTATATCAGGGACTTCTGCGACGCGTTCGGGCTCATGGACGCCGTCAGGCTCAACACCAAGGTCCTGCACGTCGGCCCGTTGGCGCCGCGCGCCGCTGACGACGGTGGCGTGAAGCGGTGGACTGTGAGGTGGTCCTCGAGACATGGTGACAGTGAGGGCGAGGTGGTCACCGCGGAGGAGGTGTTCGACGCCGTCGTCGTCGCGGTCGGCCAAAACTCCCAGCGAAGGCTCCCTAGTCCCTACCATCAACGGTAGGTTCCGATCAATTAAGTCGTTGCCAATAATTGCGTGCACTGATTGCAAAAGATGATGTATCGATCTCAGAATTATTTTTTTTCTCTCCTCCCAGTCGAACTGAATTTGTGTTCTTGTTCTTGGTCACCTGAACACATCGATCAGGCATGTACAAGTGGAGCAGGAGGCAGCTGCATTCGCACTCGTACCGGGCCCCGGACTCGTTCCAGGACCAAGTGGTGGTGGTGGTCTGATGCCACCCGAGCGGCACGGACATCGCGCTGGAGCTCTCCACGGTGGCAAGAGAGGTGCACATCAGCGTCAAGTCCATGGACGACGGCGCCGTGTTCCCGGGCATGAGGCAAGCTGTGTCCAGGCACCACAACCTGCATCTCCACCTCCAGGCATGTCGTCTCTGCTCGTTCATGGACATCAACAACATACATATATGCATATAATCCGACAAGAACGCTTGTGCGTATGTAGATTGATAGCTTGTGCGAGGACGGGCAGGTGGTGTTCGCCGACGGCTCCTCCATTATAGCCGACGCCGTCATCTACTGCACCGGGTGAGCGTATAGTATAGGTGCCAACGCTTCAGAATGATTGCCAACTGATTGCTGAATGCTGATGAAATCGTGCAATGGTCTCAACTATAGGTACGACTACTTGTTCCCGTTCCTGGACACGGGAGGCCTGGTCACCGTCGACGACAACCGCATCAGCCCGCTGTTCGAGCACACGTTCCCGCCGGCGCTGGCGCCGTCGCTCTGCTTCGTGGGCGTGCCCAAAAGCGTGGTGGTGCCGCGGTTCTACGAGGCGCAGGCGAGGTGGGTGGCGCAGGTGCTATCCGGCCGGAAGTCGCTGCCGCCGGTGGCCGACATGCTCCGCTCCGCGGAGGAGTACAACCGCGCAAGGGAGACGGCCGGCGTGCCCAAGCGCCTGACGACGACATCTTCGACCTGGAGTACTGCGACGCGTTCGGGGAGACGCATTGCGGGTTCCCGCGGCTGGAGGACTGGAAGAACAAGCTCCTGTGGTCCTCCGTCAAAAGAGTGCGCGATGCCACGGAGAGCTTCCGTGACGACTACCGCGACAGCGACCTTGTCCTCGAGGGCCTGCGCTCACAGGGCTGGCTTACCGGCCGGCCGCCGCCGCCGCCGGAAGACACGAGGGTAGAAAACGAGTCATGAGTGGCGGCTTGTTTGACAAAGTACGTCTGCGCCAGAAGCACGATTAAACAAATTGCAGAGTGTTCCAGCACTCCTGGGCAACACATTAACTCTGAAAAAACTAAGAGATCAACACAATGAGCCTGTTCGCATGTTAGTTTCTGGACAATAAGTTCGACTGGTGCTGGTTTATTGTAAGAGAAAAATATTGTTAGCTGGCTGATAAGCTCTGGCTGAAACCAACAGACAAACAGGCTAAATAACTCTGGAAAAAACTAAGAGATCAATTAGATACAACTTGAGGAAACAACTAGGCAGGGACACGCGTATCTCACCTTTAGGATTGGGGACAGCTGCCGGCCGGACAAGAATGTCCAATGGCCATGTGCTGCTGACAACGGAGAGGGAGACGACGCACTACTGTGCAAGGCAGACGAGGGAGAGGGGAGATCTCATTGTCGATGGTCGTGTAGAGAAAATCAAGTTCTCAAGGTGATGAATCAGCATCTTATAACGTACCCAACGATGCAACTATCGATATATTCAGTGATTTAGATGCGTTTTGAACCGGTTCCGAAGCGTTGGATCTTGCGGCATGTCCAATGTTTTGGGTTGGCCGTTGGATCCGGTATAAGGACTGCACTTTGGCTCCAGCATTCGAGGAAAGCCATTGAGAAAGAAGACGATGGAAGAATCTAGATATAATATTATGTATTTTTTTATTTTAGATTTTTTCTTGTATAATTTAGGAATGTATTGTGACAAGATTTATTGTAAGTCCCCCTTCTATTCGAAAAAAAGAAAAGGGAGCGGCCAGCAAGAAAAAACAAGGGAAATGCTTCCTCTAGGGTGTCTGCCCGTCCGGACGCTAGCTTCCTAGGCCAGCGAATGCTCACATTGGTGGACCGTGACTCCCAATGGCCCACCACGACGTATGCGCTCGTCTGCAGTGGATGGACGATGTATCCTGTAGGGCGTCCGCAGCACCGCGATCGCGTTCCACCATGACCGTGTCGCGATCGCGACTGCCCTCCACCACGACTATGTCGCTTTGGTGTTCTCCACGGCGTCTGGGTGCTCGCTGGCCATCCCACCCGCCCTTTGCGTCATCACCGCCGTCACGCCTCTTGGCATTCTCCACGCCGTCTGAGCGCCCCCCGTTCATCCCACCCGCCCTCTTCATCGTCCGTCGCGCCGCCCCACCTTACCCTTTGTGCGCCACTCCCCAGCTCCGAGCTACCGGCGAGCTCTACATCAGTGAACTCTACACACCGACGAGCCTCTATTCACCCAAGCAGCAAGGAGATGTTACGTTGAAAGCGCTTGTTGTAAACGTATGTTGCAAATGTTTCAGGTGTATTCAGATGTATGTTGCAAATATTCCATATGGATGTTGTAAAAGTAGATCTGGATGGTGCATATGTTGCAATGGCTATACATGTATGTTTCAAATGTATGTTCCAAATATTTCACTTATTTCAGACATATGTCACAAGTGTTTCATCTGGGTCTTGCAAAAATAGATCTAGATGTTGCATTTTGTTGCAATGGCTACCCACATATGTTGAAAGTGTATGTTCCAAATATTTTATCTGTTTTAAATGTATGTTGCAAGTGTTTTATCTAGGTGTTGCAAAAGTAGCTCTGGATATTTCTATGTTGCAATGGCTATACTGCAAGTGTATGTTATAAATGTTTCATCTGTTTTAGACGTATGTTGCAATTGTTTCGTCTGGGTGTTGCAAAAGTAGATCTATATGTTGCATTGGTTATGTTGCAAGTGTATGTTCCAAATGTTTCATATGTTTCAAACGTATGGTAAAATGGTTTCATCTGGGTGTTGCAAAAATAGATCTAGATGTAGGCGTGGAGGAAGCTTAAGCCCTCGGTAGTCGTGCTGCTGCTCGAGCAGAATGGCAGCTACTAGTCCGCCGCAACGGAGGACCACAGGAAGAGGGCGAAGGGAACCTCCGGCGACAACGGCGTGGTCGCTAGCAGGTGGAGGCTAAACTCCCATAGGTGTATGTGTGAGAGGCGTCCTAGACGTCTCGGTGAGGCCCGTGGACACGGAGAAGGCCGGCTGCTGCGGCTCCCTGGTGTATGGCCCGATGGCGAAGATGGAGGCCACGGACGCGAGAGCGGCGGGGATGGGATGTCATGGGTGACATGGGCACGATAGGGATATGGGACCTCGCGGGCGCAGATGGGGGCGAACGACAACGGGTGAGGCGGATCGGGAGGGATGGGGCACGGGAGCTGCATGGATCAGCTGTTCGCTGGACTTGCGGCCATGGTACCGTCCAATGAATTGATATTCTTTCAGATGTCCAGGTGCTAGCAGCTCAAAAAAGGATAATGGAAATATATGGGCTTGGCCGATCGTCAAAGGAGCTGGACTGAATTGGATCGACAATCGATGGCGCCCACAATACTGTTTATGCTCTAACGTGTCTGGCAGGCTCTACCATGTTCGCCTGGTATGCCCCGATGGCACCATCCTACAGGAGCGCAGGGCATGGCAGGGTACGGTCCTCGGTATTGCGATTGACTTGAGCGCCTTACCTTATCTGCTCCGCCTGCTCCCCGGGCGTACACCGAGTAGGCGTCCCCGGTCAGTCGTTCTCGATCGGCCCCTACCGTGTCGGTCAGGAAAGAGCAGCGAGCAGAGGTCTAGTGTATCCTCGATCGGAGAAAAGGGGTCAGAGTCGGACTATGGTCCCACCTCGGCCAAGCCTTCCGGTCGAGGACCGAACCGTGGTCTTGGCCTATGATTGTGTATTTGGGCCAGCCCAGGCACGTGCGCCGCCTGCTGGGCCTAGTTTTATAGGGAAGCGGGTCCATTGGGGACCCCAGGTTTATGAACCCAACAGGAGCCCTCGAGCCCCTTTGGGGCTTCTGTGAAGCCATGAAGGGGCTGTTGAGTTGGAGCCTTGGCGTTTTCCCCTTTGGTTTGTTGTACCGCGTAGGATAACCAAGTAGGTTTTAGGCGCCCAGCCTCCATGTGGAGGACTGGCAAAGGCCGCGGAGGCGCGCAGAGTGGATAGGGGCCCCCAGCCTCTGTGGGGAGGACTGGCGAAGGCCGCGGACTGCGCCGGAGGGATATTGGCACCCAGCACCTGAGGAGGGGACTGGCGAAGGCCGTGGAGGCGCGCCACGTAGACATAGGCGCCTAGCCCCTGAGGAGGAGACTCATTGGTAATCCGTTTTCTATCAGGTGCGCGCGAGCGCACCCGGTGGGTGTAGTCCCCGAGCCTACGGCCGACTAGGTAGTCGGTTGGAGGCTGAGCAACTTGGTACTCTTTTTGGGGGCTGCGGACTCTTGTGTCTCTTCTGGTTGGGGTGTTCGCCCATGTCCGTTCCGACCGCAACCTAAGCAGTCGGTCAGGTTCCTAAGTCGAGACTTGGTAGCTCGAGCCCCGTTTGGCTCGGTAGGGGTTGGTCGAGTTTTGTGCGTCACCCCGTCCACGGTTTCCACAACCGGAGGGGTTGAGCTAACATCACTTGCCTCGATGGCTCGAGTGACGCGCTCGGTGAGCTCACTAACGGGCATGTCCAAGTGGAATTCAGGTCCGTCGTTCGTAACGGGGTCGACATAGCCCTCATGTGGCATTCCACTGCTCCTTAACCCGCCTCCTGGCAGATGCCCGAACCGTTCCAGAGACCGACTCAGGTGGCCCGCTGGTCTCCCCTCGATAGACATTCTGTGGGCATGGCTCAAGGTCAGGATCGAACGAGAAGGTTGAGATGACCCTATCTGCTCTTGAGTGGGTCGGGCGAGGGCCGCTGGGGATCATCTGCGTTTTCTCCCCTGGCTCTATTTGACGCGAGGTGGCCTCGAGCCCTTCGTGGGCCGGCCTTCAAACCCCGGTCGGTTGCTGCTCATATCAAATGAGACGACTATCGCTTCGTGACGCGACACGAAGCGTTGTGATGCATCAATTGCATATGCAATGCTTGGATGTATGGGATGAATATATGGATGAATGTATGAATGCATGCATGAGAATGGATGAATGAATGCTCATGCACTAGAAAAGCAAAACGGGGGTTGGTAGAGTTACCTCGATGGCTCGAGTGACGGGTTCAGGGAGCTCCTATCGAATATGTCCGAGTGAAATCCGGGTCCATCGTTCGTGATGAAGTCGGCATAACCTGCATGGGGCCTCCCATACTCCTTACCTATCACTCGGCAGCCTTCTGAGCTATCCGATCGACTCGGGTGATCCGTTGGCCTCTCCTCGATGGAGATTCCATCGGTGGGCTCCTTCAAACCCTGCCTAGGAAGGCGAAGGGTCGTTTGCGTGTGGTTGTGCCTCATTTCCTGTGCCTGGCTTGTGGTAGTGGTGGGCCCCGCCCAGGCCATGTCCCGTTAGCCAGGCAATGTTTCGTCGAGTAGGCCACATCCCGTCAGCCAGGGCCACATCCCAACGCACGCCTTTCCGCATTAAATAGGGGGAAGGAAGAGGGTTTTCCTTCCGTTCTTTCGCCTTTCTTGAACCGCTGCCATTTCTCCTTCCTTCTTTTCGCCAAGCCTGTTTGTGTGCCGCGGCGGTTTCTAGGAGAGACGAGGGCAGAGCGAGGGAGAGGAAAAACTCACAGATTCGTTCGTAAATCCGAGGTGCGATGTCGAACTAGAGGCCTTCCAACATGCATGAGGAGGTGCTGGCCACCTTCACCGAGAAGGGGTTGCTCCCATCAAAGGAGGTGGCGCATTGGAGAGCTCCTACGCCGAGGGAGATTGTTCCGCAACCCTGGGCCAATGAGGTCGTCTCCTTTCTTGCCTTCCACGAGCGCGGGCGAGGGTACCCCGCACACTGGTTCCTACGTGGACTCCTCAACGAGTGGGGCCTGGAGTTGCAGCACCTCAACCCATCATGGTCAATCACAATCCATTTATTTAAATGCCCTTATTAATTTAATTAAATAATTAGGGTAAATAACAAACATATATCAAAGCTGCACAATAAATTCTCATAAAATTACAGTGGACTCCTAATGCCCACAATAGGCTACTGTGAAAA